CCTCACCCGGGAAGAGCGCAATGATGGTGCTAGCTTGGGCCAGTGAAGCAACGTCCTCCACAACTAGACTGAAGAACAAAACAATAGCAACTTGTCTGTTCCCCTTCCCCTGATTCCCCAGCGCTGTTCCCCTCCCCCAATTCCCCAATTTAAAAAATCTTAAAAAAAAAAAAAGAAATGAGCAAAAGCTTTACAATTCTAACGAGGGGGCCACCCCCAGAAAATCTAAATAAAGGGAGAAGATGAACACTTTGCTTTTGTATATGAAGAATCAACAATGTAAAGCAGTAAATTCTTACTGCTTTATCTACCTATTAATATCTAATAGTATCTATCTATTATTTCCATTCAATTACAATCAAAGCCTTATTATGATTTTTTGAAGACTTATGTAATAAGGAATTTGATAAGCCTTTGTCCATATTCCCAGAAGGTAACCTCTAAATCCTCTAAACTCCTGGAAATTGATTATTTGTTATTCATGGTGAGCCCCTTGGACCACACCTGATAGTTTATACTACTAAGGTGACTCATGATGGGCCCCTAGATGGGCCACTAAATGAGATGACTCAGGATGGAGACTAGCAATGCCAGAAAGACCAGCCATGTGATGAGAGGATTGGAGGTTTGAGCTAACATGGTATCAGCCTGACTTTTGGGGAAGGAAATGAAGGCTGACGATTGAGTCACATTGGACAATACTTCACTCAATCAGCCTACATAATGAAACCAAAAAACAGAAACAAAAAACAAAAACTCTGGACACTGAAGCTCAAGAGACGTTCCCTGGCTGGCAATTATTCCTTTGAATATTGAGACACAAAAGCTTCACATTTGCAACCCTCTCAGGCATCATCGTTGGAATCTCTCTCCTTTTGGCAGTTGTTTTATATCCTTTGTTAGAATAAAACAAATCATAATATAGCTCTTTCCTGAGTCCTGTGAGTCATTCTAGTGAATAATCAAAACTTAAGCACCTCTAAATTTGTATCCAGCTGGTCATAAATGAGGGTGGCCCTGAGGATCCCCAAACTTGCAGCTGCTGTCTGAAATTAGCAGTCTTGTGGAGCACTATGGTCTCAGATTTGGCAGTTTGGCAAACTCACTGCAAGATTTTTTTTTTTAATACTAAAGTTCATCACAATAAACATAAAACCAGGGTAGACTATATGTTAGCCCCTAAAACAAGTGTTAATAAATTTTAAAAGACTGAAATCATGCAAAGTATCTTTCCCAATCATAATGGAATGAAACTAAAATCAATAACAAAATGAATACTGGAAAATCCACAAATATATGAAATTAAACAACATATACTCACACAACCAACAGGTTAAAGAAGAAATCACAAAGGAGGTTAAAAAATAACTTGAGACAAATGAATATAAAAACACAGCATACTGAAATTTATGGGATGCATCAAGAGCAGTACTAAGAAAGTAATTTTTATCTAAATGCTTATATTAAAAAAGAAAGACCTCAAATCAACAGCTGAACTTTACATCTTAACAAACTAGAAAAAGAGAAAACTAAGCCCAAAGCTAAAAGAAAAAAATAAAGATTCAAGCAGAGATAAACAAAACGGAGAATGTAAAAAAAAAAATAGAGAGAATCAACAAAACCAAGAGGTGTTTCTTAAAAAGGATTGCAAAACTAACAAACCTTTAGTTAGACTAAGAAAAAAATAAAGACTCAAATAACTAAAATCAGAAATAACCAAGGGAACATTACTACCAATTTTACAGAAATAAAAAGGAATATAATAGAGTACAGCTGACCCTTGAACAACACAGGTTTGAACTGTGCAGGTCCACTTATACATGATTTTTTTTCTCTCAATAAATACTGTAAATGTATTTTCTCTCCCTTATAATTTTCTTAATAACATTTTCTTTTCTGTAGCTTACTTTATTGTAAGAATACAGCATATAATACATATCACATACAAAATATGTGTTAATCAACTGTTTATGTTATTGGTAAGGCTTCTGGTCGACAAT